TTCGGGACACGGAGGAGATGCTAAGTAAGAAGCAGGAGTTCCTGGAGAAGAAGATCGAACAGGAGCTGACGGCTGCCAAGAAGCATGGCACCAAAAACAAGCGCGGTGAGGCGGCCCCGACCCCATCAGACTCTCCACTGCCTCTCCTAAGGTCCCCCAGGCTCGGACTCCACTTTGTCTGACTCGTTTCGGGGTCTCCTTCAACCCTGGAACTCTTCGGCTAGACTTCTTCCGGTGCCTCTCCCGGCCCGGGACCACTTTCCACCAGACTCCTGTGTCTCCTTGAGCCGGCTCACTTCCACCATCAGACTCCCTTCAAACTCTTCCCTCCCCTATCAGGCCTCTCTTGACCCAGATCTCACAGCACTTAAACTCCGTGCTCAGTCTGTTCCACTCTGTTTTACTGTGTTCTCGCTTTGACCTCACCCACCTTCCCAGCCACTGCCTCCACCCCCACTTTGGCTCATTTCTTTTCTTCATCCTATCATTTTGTGTCTCTCGGTTCACCTCTGCCCTCCTCCGAGCCCTTGGTGGAGTCTGAGCTGCCTTCGGCCTCTGACTTAGGAGTCTTTTTGAAAAGCCTCCTTTATGGAGAGAAAAGAGGATAGGGGAGTGAAGAGACTCTCTGGTACCCGCTCTGTTCACTTGTGAAATTGAACAAGTTTGAGACCTTGGTTTCCGCATCCACTAGCTCGGATCTGGCCGCTGTGAGGCCCAAGATGTCACTAGCCCTATGATTCTCTTTTGGTTGCCCCATATTCAGGCCTTCTTGGAGCTTCCGTATTGTCAGCCTTACCCCCTGTGACTCACCACTTCCCTGTCCTCTGCTGAATAAGGAGATTGGTCCAGTCCAGTCTTGATGTGAATTGATACTACTTCCTGTTGTGAGTCTGTCTAGGAAAGTGCCTTGTAGTTTTCGTAAGGGAAATGAATGTGAAAATGTTTTAGTGACTGTAAAGAAGGTTTGCTTTTTGTCACAGCAACGTGAGTATGAATCATAGCGTGGAGTTCTTCCTTTGAGAGTGGGCCAAAGGTGGGAGGGGTTTAGGAGTCGTACAGACAAATATTGAACTCAGAAGGCCAGCAGGGAAGTTTGTTCTGGGATTGTGAACTAGTGGATTTGCCTTTCTGAAAGGATTACTAATACCCAGCACATAGTAGGAACTTAACTAACATTGTAAACATCTGCTTGATGTATTCTCAGAATATAAAATGGTCTATCCTGATAGGAGGTGGTGGCGCCCACCTTTAAACCCAGCACTCGGGAGGCAGAGGCAGATGGGTCTCTGTGAGTTCGAGGCCAGCTTGGTCTACAGATCGAGTTCCAGGACAGGTTCCAAAGCTGCACAGAGAAACCCTGTCGAAAAACCAAACCAAACAAAAAGATGGTCCATCCCTAGGATGCTCCTTGATAATAGCAAACATTCTGGAACTTCTGGGTACCCAGTGCATCCAGTCACATTCATAGAGGGGAATCAGACAGCCCCCACTTCAAGCAGAGAGACAGATACTGGCTGTGTGTGTCCCTGTAGACCTGTCTGTAACCGGGCACTGGGAGGTAGAGGTTGGAGGGTCAAGGCCATCTTTGTTGAGGGAGCAATTTCATGGCCAACCTGGCCTGTGAGAGACTCTGTCTCTAAGAGAGATGGTGGGGGCAGGCAAGATCAGAGTAAGTGAAGAAGCTAGCCATTTAGGAGGTGTCATTGATGAGCATTAAACAAGGAAAAGTTGGTCATAGTGAGGGGGAGCGGTGCTATTTTGGTAGAGTGGTCAGGGATAGCCTCTTTGAAAAGTTAAAGTTTGAACTGAGTCTTTTGAAAAGAACCAGCTTTCGGGGGCTTTTTCCTGGCTGGGAGAACAGCATAAGAATGGCTGGAAAGTTGTCAAGATTAAAGAAATTGAAAGACCTCTGTAGTGATTGAGGGGAGAGCAGAGTAAATAAAAGGAGGGTATAGTAGGTAATTACCAATACGGAGTCAGGTAGAAATATAAGGGTATTTAATAGGGAAAAGCCTTACTTACAGAGCGAACCAGCCAGCCGGTGGTAGTCTGTACAGCAAGAAGCAAAGAGAGAGACCGAAACCGAAAACGCAGTCCCCCTACTCATTCTGACCACGCCCTCATAAGCCCTCAGGTACTCTTGTAGCCAGCCCCTAAGAAGGCGTGGCTACAGCTTCCCCTACAGGAGGGGGACAGGCCTCGAATGGCTGACAGTTTGGATTCTAAGTGGATGGAAAGCTTTTGAAGGGTACTGTTCAGAAGCAAGCCCTAATCATTGGTAAGAGTTTTAAGCATCTGGCTGCTCTCTGGAGAGTGGGAGGGGCATTCGAGGAAGTTGCAGGCATCCATCTGTGGACTGGACACCAGTTGTAGCTGTGGAGAAGAACAGAGCTGTGTTCGTTAATCAGCTCTTTTCTCTGACAACTCTCCCTTAATCAGGGTCCTCTTTCACCAGCGGTAATTAGTCCTGGTTTTTGCCTATCTGCATGTTTGAAAGCTTGCCTCTTCACAGTGGAGTGGAGGAGGGTGTCACTGCACATCCTCTCCCATGCCACAGGACCCCAAGCACAACGTCTGCCACACGGTAAGAGAGCAATAACTCAGGTCTCTTGGTCTAGGGCTAGCTTAGTGTCTGCCGTTGCAGAGGTAACTGAATTGGCTTTCAAGATGCTTGTAGAGACAAAGCTGACACACTGGAGAAGCAACCCCAGCTGTAATAACTTTGTTCAAAGTGATGTCTGTCTTTTTGAGTTTACCTGTGAGGGTCCACGTTCTTGTCTTTCTTATGGTCCTAAGGTCTAATAGTTGTGTTGTTCTTGTCCTAGCACCTAACCTGCTTCCTCCGAGGCTGCTGTGAGGTTCTACCATTACCACATGCATACCACTTACTTACCAACCCAGACTGTTGAGACTCTGAGCATCAGAGATGAGAAAACACTGCCTTGTCTTCCTGGGAGAAGCCAGGATTGGAAATGGGGGGTGAGGAGGTGGGGAGGGCCAGGAGTAATTTTAGAAGTCAGTGGTGAAGTGTGTTTAAATGGTTGAGGTTACAGAGGGGGAGGTTCTTGTCTGGAGGGAAGGTAGGGAGGAGGCTTTGTGGAGGAAGGAGAATGCGGTGGGCCATCAGGGGTTTAGTGTGTTGAGGAGCAGTGTAACCTTGGAGGGTGACTTCTAGCTTTGGATCTTGCCCTGGATATGTTGGAGAGCTGTTGGTGGGAGTTCCAGGACAGGCTCCAAAGCTACACAGAGAAACTCTGTTGGGGGAGGGGGTGGGGGTGGATTCGAATCTTACAGATCAGGGTTTGAGCTATACCTTCTTTACTGACTAGCTATGTGTCTGGGCAGGTTACTCTGCCTCCCGTTCCTCTGTAAATATGAGTCCTATCAACAGGACAGAATAAGGTATGTTTGTTGTGTATGCAAAGTCAGCACAGAGCTTGCTGTATGGTAAAAGATCAATAACTGCTAGACATTAACATTATTACACTGATACTAGCAGTTATTCGGGTGGGAATTAAGGGCCTAGAATAGACACATGGAAAATGGGCAAAGATATACATGTCCAAGACTTCTAAAGGAGAGTCAGAAGAAGCTTGGTGGTTTGGTAGGGTTATTGGCAGTAGCATGATGCAGACAGGAGGAAGACATTCCCAGGCTTTCAGCTGGGGCAGCCGGGTACATGGTGATGCATGGATAAGTTAGGAGGTAAGTGGCATGTCATAGTGTAATCCTTTGAAATTTGTAAAAGCTTTCTGATGAGTATTACAGCGTCTACTGAAACTATGGCTCCCTGAGGTGGGATTTTACAGAAATGTTCACTGCTCTATGCCCAGCAGTATCTGGCTTACGGTTAATGTTCAGTAGATATTTAGTCATGAATGAGAATTGATTTATCTATTTATTTGTTTGTTTATTTTTGGTTTTCCAAGGCAGGGTTTCTCTGTATCAACAGCTCTGGCGGTCCTGGAACTCATTTTTGTCCACCAGGCTGGCCTTGAACTCACAGAGATGCTCCTGCCTCTGCCTCCCAAGTGCTGGGATCAAAGGCGTGAGCTGCTGCTGCCGCCTCGGCCACCTCCACCACCTGGCAAATGAGTATTTATTATATGACTAAAGCCAATCTTGGGACTGGAGAAGTGGCTCAATTGGTAAAGTACCTGCCATACAAGCATGAGGACCTGAGTTCAGATCCCCGCACCCAGGTAAAGGGGCTCATCAGTATGCCCAGCTGTAACCCCAGCACTGGGGTAAGGCAGAGACAGGCAGACTCCTTAGATCCGTGGCCAGACAGCCTTTCTTAATTTTATAGCTTCAGGTTCAGTGAGTGATCCTGTCTTAAAAAATAAAATGGAGAGTAATAGAAGCTATTTAACTTTGACCTTTCAACCTTGTTTGACCTCTAGCCTTAATATGCATGTGCACATACATATTCATACAACCACACACAGGTACACATGAAAAGTATCTGGCTGGTATGTTCTTTTATGCCCGGTGTAAAGGGAGGAAAATGAGGCGTAGGAAGTGATGTGTCTCAACTCAGAGACTTGTTCAAGGGACTAGGGGCATCATATTGGCTGATTCCGTGACTGCCAGAGGCTTCACATGGCTGGCATTGTCCCTGCACTCAGTACATAACCCCATTTATGCAAGGTGTGGGATGAGAGGGGGGAAAGTGAGACAGCACCAAATTCTGCCCATCAGAATATGTATCCAAATTCAGAAGCCATCTTGGTGATATACACATTGCAAAGATGGTACACTGCCCTTTGGAAGAAAACATGAAAGCCAGATTGGATTATTTGCACTGTGTCCCGGGCAGTGGCTCCAGTCAGATGAAGAGAGCAAAATTTGGGTCACATATTTTTTTTCCAGTTCCTTTTTGTTTCCTTTAATCATATATTTATTCTCATGTTCTGGTTCTGGTCCCTTACTCAGTGCTAAGAATACAGACCAGGACATAGACCCTGCTACACAGGAGACTTATAAACTTATCTTCACTTGTGAAATATCTACCTGGCTGAGGTGAGGATTACCTAAGATATGTATGAAAGAACAAGATATATGGCACTTGTCTGATAGTTACCGCTGATCAGATTTATATGGTT